TGTCCATTAGCATGGTAAATGGTTTTCCACCCCCTCACTTTCAATCTGGAGGTGTCTTTGGGTCTAAAACGAGTCTCTTGCAGACAGCATATCGCTGGGTCTTGTTTTTTTATCCAATCTGATAGCCTGTGTCTTTTGATTGGGGCATTTAGCCTATTTATTTTCAGGGTAACTATTGAAAGATATGAATTTAGTGCCACCGTATTGCCCATAAGGTTACTGTTACTGTGTATTGTCTGTGTTCCTTTCTGGTCTATGTTACCTTTAGGCTCCCTCTTTGCTTAGAGGACCCCTTTCAATATTTCTTGTACGGCTGGTTTCCTGTTTGCAAATTCCTTTAGTTTTTGTTTGTTCTGGAAGCTTATCTCTCCTTCTATTTTCAATGACAGCCTAGCTGGATATAGTATTCTTGGCTGCATATTTTTCTCGTTTAGTGCTCTGAATATATCATGCCAGTCCTTTCTGTCCTGCCAGGTCTCTGTGGATAGGTCTGTTGCCAATCTAATGTTTCTACCATTGTAGGTTACAGATCTCTTCTCCCGAGCTGCTTTCAGGATTTTCTCTTTGTCTCTGAGACTTGTAAGTTTTACTATTAGATGTCGGGGTGTTGACCTGATTTTATTGATTTTGAGAGGGGTTCTCTGTGCCTCCTGGATTTTGATGCCTGTTTCCTTCCCCAAATTAGGTAAGTTCTCTGTTATAATTTGCTCCAATATACCTTCTGCCCCTCTCTCTCTTTCTTCTTCTTCTGGGATCCCAATTATTCTAATATTGTTTCATTTTATGGTATCACTTCTCTCTCGGATTCTGCCCACGTGATCCAGTAGTTGTTTATCTCTCTTTCTCAGCTTCTTTATTTTCCATCATTTGGTCTTCTATATCACTGATTCTCTCTTCTTCCTCATTTATCCTAGAAGTTAGAGCCTCCATTTTTTATTGCACCTCATTAGTAGACTTTTTGATTTCGACTTGGTTAGATTTTAGTTCTTCTATTTCTCCAGAAAGGGTTTCTCTAATAACTTCCATGCTTTTTTCAAGCCCAGCTAGTATCGTTAAAATCATCATTCTGAACTATAGTTCCAACATCTTACTAATGTCCATATTGATTAGGTGCCCCCTGGCAGTCAGTACTGTCTCTTGTTCTTTTTTTTTGAGGTGATTTTTTTCCATCTTGTCATTTCGTCCAGAGGAGAATAGATGAATGAGAGAACAAAATGCTAACAGGGTAACAATTACCCCAGAAAAATATACACTAAACAAATCAGAAGAGACCTGAAACTGGGGGAAAAGAAAGGGAAAGAACGAAAAAAGAAAAAGAAAAAGATAAAAAAAAAAAAAAGAATATGATCAAATACGATCAGCTTGGTGCATAGATCAGTGCCACACACTAGATTTGGGGCGTATTTTGGTCTGTTAGAAGAAAGTGCCTCCCAAACTTTTAAAGAAAGAAAAGCCTATATATGTACGAAAATAAGGGTAAATACACTGAAGGGATGGAATATGACTGTAAAGATGAAAATTATAACGGATTTTATAAAAGGAATTGATAAGAAGTTGAAAAAAGAAAGAAGAGGATTTATTTTGTTTTTTTTAAAGATTTTATTTATTTATTTGAGAAAGAGAGAATGAGAGACAGCACAAGAGGGAAGAGGGTCAGAGGGAGAAGCAGATTCCCTGCTGAGCAGGGAGCCCAATGCAGGACTCGATCCCAGGACTCCAGGATCATGACCTGAGCCGAAGGCAGTCGCTTAACCAACTGAGCCACCCAGTCACCCGAAAGAAGAGGATTTAAAAAAAAAGGGGGGGGGGAGAGAATGTGTTCAGGCAGGTGACTAGACCAAAGCCATACACTAGAGATTTAGGGTATATTTTGGTTTGTTAGAAGAAACTGTATCCCAATATTTTAAAGAAAGAACAACATATACATACCAAAAATAAGGTTAAATACTATGAAGGGATAGAATATGACTCTAAAATGAAAAATAAAAAAGATTTTTTAAAAGGGATTGATAAGATGTTGGTTGAGAAAGGGAAAAAGAAAAATTCAAAAAAAATTTTTTTTTGAATTAACTCTTAAAGACTAAAGAATCATGGGAAAAAAAGCCATGACTTCTATGTGCAGTATTCCCCTTGTGCTGGAGTTCTGCCGTTCTCATTGATCAGTAAACATGGTCTTGGCTGGCTGTTCTTGCTGATCTTCTGCGGGATGGGTCTGTTGCAGTGGTTCCCAAATGTCTTTGCTGGAGGCAGAATTGCCCCGCCCTTGCCAGGGCGGGCTAAGTCATCTGCTCAGGTTTGCTCTCAGGAGCTTCTGTTCCCTGCAAGCTTTCCGTACAGCTTTGGAGGATGAGAGTGAAAATGGAGGTCTCCCAAGCTCCGCCCCAGAGGAGCCAAGACCCTGGGGCCCACTCCTCAGTGCACCCCCAGAGAAAAGCAGTCAGTCGCTCCTGTCTCCCTGGTCTCCAGCGGCACTCCATGCTCACCCGGCCTGTGACCGCGCATTTGTATCTCTGGCGCACGACCCCACGTGTAGTCTCCAAATCCAGCAGATTCCTGCTGTGCGCTCCCGTGCCGCTCCTCCCAGAGGAGGAAGGGGAGTCTCCCCAGATCTGCCAATTGTTGGGTCCCTGCTGGAGGAGCAGTGGCCTGACTGTGCCGTGGATCACGGCTAACCCCGAGCTGAGAGCCCGCGTCTTTGCTCTGTCTCTGCAGCCAGTTTCCCCGCTCCAATACCTGGGAGCTCTGCCGCACTCAGGCACCCCCGGTCTTTCTGTGACCCCGAGGGTCCTGAGACCACACTGTCCCGCGAGGGTTCCATCCCCTGCTTAGCCACTGGAGTGACGTCCCTCAGCGGAGCTGACTTCTAAAAGTTCTGATTTTGTGCTCTGCTCTCTATCGCTTGCCAGTAGCAGCCGACGGAGGCCCCCTCCCCCGCCATCTATCTTCCCAAATATTGCCTTGGATTCACTTCTCCTCACGTCCTACCTTCCAGAAAGTGGTTGTTTTTCTGTTCAGAGAGTTGCTGCTATTCTTTTCTTCGATCTCCTGTTGAGTTCGTAGGTGTTCAGAATGGTTTGATCCCTATCCAGCTGAACTCCTGGGACCAGACGAAATCTAGGTCTCCTACTCCTCTGCCATCTTGCTCCTCCTCCCTCATTAGATAAGATTTTAAACTTTAACAAAGATGACAAGCAAGTTTTATCTCACATGATGAATCCAATTTCATGTGCATCGGGAACAATAATAATAGTTAATACTTACTGAGTACTAACTATGGGGGGCACTCTTCTATACATTTTACATAAATTAACTCAATTCTAACAACAACCTTAAGAAGTAGGTACTGTTATTATCCCTATTTTACTGATAAGGAAACTGAGGCATAAAGAAGTCAAATAACAACCAAAAAACAAACCTAAGTAAACTACCTGAAGTCACATAGCTAGTAAGTAGAGAATCTCAGCAGTGGGGCATTAGGGTGTGTGCCAAACCATTACACAATCTTGCCCCTCAAGGAGAGATGCTGAGATCAGGTGTGGACATATTAGCCATCTGAATAAACGTTAGAAAAAGCTTGGGCTCTCCAGTGATGTGACCCACATCACTGGGTTCAAATTTCAGCTCTTGCCTTTACCAGCTATTTAATCTTTGAAGCATCACATGAGCCCCATGAGACTCATTTCCCTCCCATGAAAATGAGGATTCTAATACCCATTTACAAGTCAAATTCTGAGGATTTGAGGAGATAATATATGGAAAGTGCCCGATCCTAAGATGGGATGCAGAGTAGGCATTCAGTCAAAAGTAGATAGCATTATAACTGAAAACTTTCACAGAGTAGAGAAATATTATACACAACATACAAGAAATTAGAAAGCAAATTTACTCACAATAAATGTAAAGTTAAACTTCTTTTTAATTTTATTTTATTATGTTATATTAATCACCTTAAACTCTTAAATGGTACTTATAGCAAAATTAGAGACTGCCAATGAAATAAAGTTTTAAAACACTTTTACTCTGATGTTCAAATCCCCAGTTACAACCCAGGTGGTAAGATGTCTTCCATAGAGCATACTGTACCTCTTTGATGATTTTCACCCCTTTTGGATCCTTGATGTTAACAGCTATACTCTAAAAATTAAAATATATATATTAAAATAGTATCATAAAGGTTTTCATATTACTGACAGTTCAATAAGGGAAGCATTCATATCCTATGTTCTCCTCTTAAAGCAAGTGTATTTTCCTCATGAAGAAACATTTAAATTATCTTTACTGATTTTATTTGCAGTGTAACTATATTAGGATGATACCAAGGATAACAGTAAAAATTTTTCAAATAATACCAAGTGTTAGGCAATTAGCGATCTCCAAAAGAATAAAATGTAAAGAATCAAATAATTTCTTTCTTTAATAAAATTATTTCCATTATAAACAATTACAAATTCTCGTGAAATATTTTAAGTCAGTATAGAAGGAAGATTAGTAAAAAGCTCTCTTGTTTCTATTTGGTACCTGGTGAATGAATAAAATTTCACCTTATTTTAAATATTATATACACAAAAAAGGATAGAAATGAATGAGCCAAGATGATATCAAAAGTTTTGTTATTATAAGAGAATTACACAAAAAAAAACAGAGAAAGAAATTATATTCTTACTTTTTTATTTCGATTAACACTGAGAAAATAAGTACTTTCTGTCCCCACAAAAGGTGGCCCCCAAGTTCGTGTATCATCACCAGCTCCTGAAAATAACAGTATGAGCTATTAATATTTAACTCTTAAACATCATGAGACATCCAAACCAACGTTCACCCATCATATACATTCACAGGTGCCTAAACAAAATCAGCTCAATTCAGTGGAATTCACAATTTAGAGGGACCATAAGAACTTGCTGGAACTGTCCAAACTCTACCTGCTCATGTTATTCACTAAGTCCTACCATATCATCTTTACTAGAATCCATCCCTGAAAGTCAATATCCAGAAAGAAATATACTATTAGCAGTCTTTAGATTTAATAAATGTCAAATTTAAAAGAAAAAAACTACTCTCAGTTTTTGGCAAGCAAAAAGTAAAAATCTTCAGCAGTTTAGGTCAAAAAGTAAAAAGCTTTGGCAGTTTAGGTCAGCTCTTTCTATGTTTCTTGGCATTAAATGTGCAAAGAAATGCTGAGTCTGCAAAAGATTTTTGTTAAATATTATTTAAACCAGAATAATGGCAAGTGAGATTTTATAATAAAATGGCATCATAAATAAATAAATCTTTAAGTTTCTGTGAAATCCCAGAAATAAACCCAAGCATATATGGCCAACTAATGTATGACAAGGGAACCAGGAACACTCAAAGGAGAAAAGACAAGTCTTTTCAACAAATAGTGCTGGGATAATTGGATACTCACATGTAAAAGAATGAAACTGAACCTATATCTTACACCATTCATCACTCACAAAAATTAATTCAAAAAGGATTAAAGACTTAAACATGAGACTTAAAACCATGAAATTCCTAGAAGAAAACATAGGAACAAAGTTCCTTGACATGGGTCTTGGTAATGATTCTTCTGGACTTGACACTAAAAGCACAAGCAAAAAAATCAAAAATAAACATGGGGAGGGGCGCCTGGGTGGCTCAGTCGTTAAGTGTCTGCCTTCGGCTCAGGTTGTGATCCCAGGATCCTGGGATCAAGCCCCGCATCGGGCTCCCTGCACAGCGGGAAGCCTGCTTCTCCCTCTCCCATCCCTCTGCTTGTGTTCCCTCTCTCAGTGTGTCTCTCTCTGTCAAATAAATAAATAAAATCTTTTAAAAAATAAAAATAAAAATAAATAAACAAGTGGAACTACATCAAACTGAGATTCCTTTGCACAGCAAGGGAAACCATCAACAAAGTAAAAAGACAACCTACAGAATGGGAAAAAATATTTGCAAACCCTATAGCTGATAACAGGTTAATACCCAAAACATACAAAGAACTCACACAACTCAAATAAAAAAACAAATAACCCAATCAAAAAATGGGCAAAGGACCCAAAAAGATATTTCTCCAAAGAAAACAGACAAAAGGCTACCAGGTACAGAAAAAGAAGCTTGACATCACTAGTCATTAATTAGGGAAATGCAAATTAAAACCACGAGATAATCACCTCACACCTGTTAGAATGACCATCATCAAAAAGACAAGAGCTAACAAAACAAACGTTGGTGAGGATGTGGAGAAAGGGGACCCCTGGTACACTTTGGTAGGAATGTAAATTCATACAGCCACTGTGGAAAACAGTATGAAGGATCCTCAAAAAATTAAAAAGAGAACTACAATATGATCCAGCAATTCCACTTCTAGGAATATATCCAAAGGAAACAAAAACACTAACTCAAAAAGATATGCACCCCAAGTTCATAGCAGCATTATTTACAATAGCCAAGATATGAAAACACCTGTATCCATTGCTGGATGCACGGATAAAGTTGTAGTATATATACACAATGGAACACTTTTAAGCCATAAAAAATTGAGGAAATCCTACCATTTGTGACAACATGGATGGGTCCTGAAAGCATTATTAAATGAAATAAGTCAGACAAAGACAAATATTGTATGATCTCACTTATATGTGGAATTTTTAAAAAAAACAAACTCATAGAATAAGAGATCAGACTTGTGATTACCAGAGGTGGAGGGTAGGGGGAAGGGGAAATGGAGAAAAGTGGTCAGAAAATACAAACTGCCAGTCCTAAGATAAATAAGCACTAGGGATGTAATGTACAACATGATGACCACAGCTAGCACTGCTGTATGTTATATATGAAATTTGTTAAGAGAGTAAATCCTAATAGATCTCATCACAAGAAGAATATGTTTCCCTTTTTTCTTTTCTTCTTTCTTTTCTTTTTACTATACCTACATGAGAAGATGGATGTTAGCTGAACCTATTGTGGTAACAATGTATGTAAATCAAACCATCATGCCATTTGCCTCAAACTTACATAGTGATGTATGTTAATTATTTCTCAACACAATTGGGAAAAAATTTTGTGTTATAGCAACAAATCATAAACGGCAAAATAAGTTTTGAATAGCAGGTTCATTTAATTTCAAATAGTATTCTAGAATAAAATTTTAGTCAACTAGGTCTTGCTTCAAAGTAAGAGTTTAAAACCATCAAATATAGGGTGTTTTTTTCTGAACATCTACTTCAAGGGATATATTTGTATTAGATTCAAAGATAACACTATAGAGTTACAGAAAAATTTTCCTTTGCACAAAAAGCAACTGACAATGTAGACAGAGCTCAGAAAATCAATCAATGATTAAATGGCACAAAACAGTATCCTTACTTTAGGGATTTTATAATATAAGGTCTGATTAAATATTGATATCAGAAACTAATCACTATATAAGTAATTACAATTAAAGTATTTATCACTAGCCCCCAAGAAGACACTACTTGTGAATATGAGTTAGAGTTTAAATTCTAATCTCATCTAAATAATATAATTAATCTATCAGCCCATTAGACTTTACCACTGAAACTGATCAAGAAAAACAGACACAGCCTTTTGGAAAACAAAACAAGAGGCCAAAGAATAGACTCATTTATTTAAAAAAAAACAAACAGAAAAACAACCTCACAAGAGAAAAGAGAGGACACAGGCCAGAGGAGAAAAGAAGTATTAGTTCTAGGGGCGCCTGGGTGGCTCAGTCTGTTAAGCATCTGCCTTCAGCTCAGGTCATGATCCCAGGGTCCTGGGGTGGAGCCCTGCATCAGGCTCCCTGCTCAGCGGGGAGTCTGCTTCTACCTCTCTCTCTGCGCCACCCCCCGCTCCCCACTCATGCTCTCTCAATCTCTCTCTCTCTCAAATAAATAAAATCTTTAAAAAAAAAAAAAAAAAGAAGCATTAGTTCTAACTGGAAATGAACCAGTAACAAAACAAAGCAATCAATGGTAAGCATCAAACGGAATGGCATGCCCAAAACATCAGGGGAAAAATGAGGTACAAGATCCCAGAAAGGCAATCTTCCAGTAATAAACCAGTAAGAAGAGGTTTCAATGAAAAGGTAGGTATGAATCTGGATCTTCAGGACCAGACAGGACCTGTCAGAGTCAAGAGAAAGTCCAGCTACTTCCCTTTTTTTGAAGCTTCCAATACATTAATTTTCTTTTAAAAAAAGCAACGTCAAGGTAGGGCTAAAATTAGATAATTTTATATGTTTACATTCATCTCTCAGGTGGAGATAATATCAGGAATCTTAATTGGAGGCCTACGTGGCTTTCCTACCCAGGGCCTTAGAGAGGATCAGTGGCCTCTGGAAAGAATCAGCATGGATGGCACATGCCAAGAAATAAATACTAAAGAGCTGCCATCTTGCGTCCTCGTGTGTGTGCACCTAATCTCAGCTGGTCCGCCCGAGACCCCCTGAGCGCCAACCCTATTCCCCCGCGCGGTCCCACTTCTGCTCCAACAAGATGAAAGAAACTATCATGAACCAGGAGAAACTCGCCAAACTGCAAGCACAAGTGCGCATTGGTGGGAAAGGAACTGCCCACCAAAAGAAGAAGGTGGTTCATAGAACTACGGCAGATGATAAAAAAAACTTCAGTTCTCCTTAAAGAAGTTAGGGGTAAACTATATCTGTGGTATTGAAGAAGTGGATATGTTCACAAACCAAGGAACAGAGATCCCCTCTAACCACCCCAAAGTTCAGGCATCACTGGCAGCGAACACTTTCACCATTCAGGCCACGCTGAGACAAAGCAGCTGACAGAAACGCTACCCACAATCTTAAACCAACTCGGTGCAGACAGTCTGACTGGTTGAAGAAAGACTGACCGAAGCTCTGCCCAAACAATCTGTGGATGGAAAAGCACCACTTGCTACCGGAGAGGATGATGATGATGATGTTCCAGATCTTGTGGAGAAATTTTGATGAAGCTTCCAAGAATGAAGCAAACTGAATTGAGTCAACTTCTGAAGAAGATAAAACTTGAAGAAGTTACTGGGAGCTGCTATTTTATATTATGACTGCTTTTTAAAATTTTGTTCATGGATCTGATAAAATCTAGATCTCTAATATTTTTAAGCCCAAGCCCCTTGGACACTGCAGCTCTTTTCAGTTTTTGCAGCTAATTAAGCTGAAGAAGCCTGGAAATAAAGTTTGAAACAAGGTTAATAAAGTTCTTTGCCTAGGAAACCAAAAAAAAAAAAAAAAAAGAAAGAAAGACTAAAGGTCATAAACTGGGAACATTGGCAGTTGAGAGATGTTTTATTTGACCCACACACAATTTAAAGTTTTTAACTAGCTGCCATGATTTCAAAGTCTGGAGATCTCATATAAAATTTCAGACTGCAATATTTCAACACATTCAATCCATTCAGCAAATATTTATTGGGCACCTACTATGTTACAGACAGGGCTCTAGGCAGAGCAGACACAGCAGTGAACAAAAGACCACACCCCTGCCCTCATATCCCTGCCTATGGGGCACAATCCACGAGTACCAGCAACATCATTTGCTGCCCTCCCTAGGTTACTACAGAACCAAGAAAAAGAAAATTTATGTACTCTTTGATTATAAAAATAAGAATAGTCCCAAGTCAAAAAACTATAACCAAATTTTACTTAATTAAAGAACTGGAGGGGCGCCTGGGTGGCTCAGTAGGTTAAGTGTCTGTCTTCAGCTCGGGTCATGATCTTAGGGTCCCAGGATCAAGCCCTGCATCCAGCTCCCTGCTCAGCGGGGAAA